GTTAAATGAGTCATAAATGGATGGGTATAGTTTTTATTAAAGATAAATGAGTCATTAATGGGCGGGTTATTACCCACCCATTTACCCGTTTAGATGGATATTGTTTTAAAAACACCATCAACGCTTCAATAATTACAAAAATTATTTTTAAAAGTTAAAATTATAGAAAACACTTAAAATGACTAAAACCCCTTAAATTTTTGAGATTTGCAAAAAACACCCTCAAAGTTTAAAATATTATAAAAACGCCCTCAATAGTTAAAAATTATAAAAAAACTATCAAAATTTTCTAACCTCACAGATGACACATGAAATTCAAAAATTACCAACATCCCCCTGAAATTTTATAATTTGCAAAAAATACTCTTAAAAGTTGTAGAAAATGAGAAAAACACCCTCAAGACTTCAAAATTACCAAATAATCTTAGAGTTTTCTAAACTTGCAAATGACATATAAAATTTAAAAAAATTCAATAGTCCCCTATAAATTTAAAATTTATAATTAACACCCTTAAAGTTTTAAATTTTTAGAAAAACACCCTCCATAGTTTAGAATTACAAAACTATCCTAAAATTTCAAAACCTACAAATGACACATGAAATCAAAAAATTACTAGCAGCCCCCTATAAATTTATAATTTACAAAAAGTACCCTCAAAGTTTAAAAATTGTAAAAAGCAACCTCAAGGGTTCAAGAATGTGGGACTACTTAATTAAGCCAGAAGTCTTATTTGCAAAGTTAAAGGGGGTTATCTGCAACACCCTCAAATTGAGGGGTGTTTTCTGAGACAAAGGTGAGGAGGGGTTTACGTCCATTGATTAATGTGGGGAATGATTTCAAAAGGATAGAGTTCACAGGAGTTTAGCAACAGAACCTTAGAGCTCGTGGGCATTTTGTGAAATTTCTTTCGTCAATGAAAGTAGCTTTATTCATTCATCGTGAAGATTTTAGCACAAACACAAATACAGGCAATACCCGAGGCGGTGCAGGATCTTCAGATTTAACAAGGGCTGGATATCCTGAGACTGGCGCGCTATGCTCAAGATTTGATGAAAACCATCCCGACCCATCTGTTCTTCTCTTATGTTTTATACATAGTATATTAGTATATATTATTCTTTGCACAGACTATTTAATTTAGTCCCACATTCTTTGCACAGACTACTTAATTTAGTTTGCAAAAAAACCCTGAAAGTTTGCAGAAAACCCCCTAAAAGTTTGTAAAAAACCCCCTAAAAATTTTCAGAAAATCCCCTGAAAGTTTGCAGAAAATCCCCTGAAAGTTTACAGAAAATCCCCTGAAAATTTACAGAAAACCCCCTGAAAGTTTGCAGAAACCCCCTGAAAGTTTATAGAAAACCCCCTGAAAGTTTGCAAAAAACCCCCTGAAAGTTTACAGAAAACCCTCTGAAGTTTGCAGAAAACCCCCTAAAAGTTTGCAACCCCCCCTAAAAGTTTGCAAAAAAACCTCTGAAAGTTTACAAGTAGATCCCTGAAACATACATATATATATATAAGCATCATAATCATAACGAATTGGGTTATTGGGTCATCCATGAACCACCCATTTAGTAAATGGATGGTTGAGAACTGTCGCATTTAGCAAATGCTAAATGGGTCATACATGGTCAAGTGGTCATAAATGTGCCCACCCATTTATGACCCAACCAAGACCCAATCAAAACCACACATTTGGCATCCCTACTTAGCACTAATAGGTGTGAAAGAAACACCGGGTTGGTTAGAGAGAGCCGGTCAGGGGCCATGCACCACCAGTTATAATTAGGGTATATTACACTAAACCCCCCATGAACTTTTAACCTTTTGCACTAAACCCCAACAAACTTTCAAAATCACACATTTGACATCCCTACTTAGCACTAATAGGTGTGAAAGAAACACCGGGTTGGTTAGAGAGAGCCGGCCAGGGGCCATGCACCACCAGTTATAATTAGGGTACATTACACCACACCCCCCATGAACTTTTAACCTTTTGCACTAAACCCCAACAAACTTTCAAAATCACACTAAACCCCAAAAAAACTTTTTGGACTTGTAAAAAACCCCCACGAACTTTCAGACTTTTGCATAAAACCCCCAAGTGGTTTTAGTTTACTTTTTGTGCATGTGGACTAAAATACCACCCCCTGCTCACCCCCACCTTAAAAAAAGGCCCTCTCACTTAAAATCTTATAATCCCTTCACCTTTTTTCTCCAACTGTAAAAAAAATTACCGAGTAAAAAGCATTGAGGGAATCGGTTGGGTCTACGGCTTTGTCGAAATTGGGGCTTTGCCGGAGTTGAGTCAGTTTCCATTAAAGGACTTTGAAACCAACGGGTCTGGGCCTGTTCTTAAGAGGAGAGTTGGAGGGAAAAACGAGAGATTTATGATTAGGACGGAATATATAGAAAAAGATCATAAATAAAATTTTAGTAAGTTAACGGAGTCTTGTGCATTGCACGTGCCAAGTCAGACTTAACGGTGTTAGTATCGGGGTTTTCTGCAAAAGTCTGTTGGGGTTTAGTGTGATTTTGAAAGTTTATTGGGGTTTAGTGCAAAAGGCTAAAAGTTTATGGGGGTTTAGTGTTATTTATAATGAAAGATTACAAATGGATTGCACACATGTTTTACATTATGATGACTTTTGAATTTCAAATACTTGATGAATTATCTTGCACAAACTTTCCATCTTCAGAGGATAATGAGCTTACATCTTGGCTAAAATTGTTTGCACTCTCACAACCTTTCCATCTTTAGAGGATTCTGAACTTATATCTTGACTAATTAATTAACACATATTTTGGGTTAGAGGTACATTGTGCAATTTTCCACTGAGATCAAAATAAATATATGGTAATTCATTTAGAAAATCTTATAAATATTTGCCTCCTTTTCCACTATATATAGCCCCTACTATGGGTTCTCTTGTCAATATCTTATTCAAGGAATTAGGAAATATAAAAAGAAAACTTGAAAGCCCAAGATGAAGTTCTTTGCCTTCTTTGTCATTTTCGCGTTGATCTTCGTCCAGTACAACCAAGGTATGCATCAATTGTTGGGCTTTCTTATCAGCTACCCGGCGCTATCCCATTTTATTGTAGGCTTTTTCTTAGTCATTTATTCACTATAAGTTTCCAATTTAATAATATTTCATGAAAAAATATGCAGGTTAGTTAAAAAAACAGGTTATGGAAGATATATGCATGCTCTTCTTTAATTTTAACAAGTGCAAAAGCATTTTCATTGATTTTTTTAAGCGTGAGGTCATGTCAATTATTAAATCTTCACATGTATAGATATTTTTAAAATTCTAAAATTATGGCTCACGGCGATCGAAAGGGGGACTTTTCTTAACATGCAGCACGGACAGATACGAGAAAATATAGTGTTTCTCTACAACGCAACCTCGACGCGACATGTCGAAGTCAGATAGATAACTTGTTTTTGAACACCAGATAATCTTATGCAGTAAGCTGGTCATGTGTAATTAATTAATGTGGGTTTCATTTACTTGTTTTATGTCACCAGTAGGGGTTGAAGCTTGGGACGCTATATGCGAAGCTGATCATCCTATGGCAAACTGCACCGTGAAGAAGTGCATCGTATTTTGCGTCAACACGGACGGGCCAACTGTTTCACTTGAGGGCATGTGCCCTAATGCTACCACCTGCAGGTGCACCCGGTGGTGTAACCCGTAAAAATGTAATAATATTCACTTTGTATGGAGCAAATGCTCTCCAATAATTTGGTTTGACCAACAAAAAAGTGGGAGATATACAAAGTTAGTGAAGTAAAATTAATCTCTCTTTTTCTCTCTCTCTCTTGCGACAGACTTTTCAACGTACTAGTTGGATTGCACGTGCAATGCACGTGGTAAAATTTTTAATATTATTTTAAATTCTAATTATATTTAGATTTGGTATAAATTTATTGAATGTACACAATATTGCCAGTATATGAACAGAAGCTAAAAATTCAAACTGTTTGAACAATAAATTTATATTTAGGGATCAATTATGCGATAGTATAGAGTGATTGTATCTACAAGGTGATTGATCAATCAAATACTATAACAAGAATATACGTAAAAGTAATGTTTGATGATGTGGATGTAAATCCAATCTTATGATGTTATAGGCTTTCTATGTCTTTGCACTAATTTCTTTCAAAAGCCATCGAATTTCCTTTCATCTCGAAGCTTTTGACAGCACTTTGTGTTCCCTATGTATTTTTCAGAGGTCTTTTCTCTTTGCTTGGCTATCCATTGATCATTAACTATGCAGTCTATCGGTTTGCTTGGCTCAGTTGCCTTCTCTTCAGCGTGTTGTTCTTCTTTGTCAATAGCTTCTGTGTTTGGTTCACTAATCTCCACAACTCCATTAGAGACGGCTGATATCTCATTGAAAAGAGATTGTTCTGTGTTTGGTTCACTAATCTCCACAACTCCATTAGAGACGGCTGATATCTCATTGAAAAGAGATTGAATAATTTTGTCGATGACCTGGTCGATAAACGTAATGAACAAGCAACAATCATTCCCCAAATACAAGGCTACATGAACCCTATATCTTTTGCTGGATGGATTCATGTTGAGCAAGTAGCAGATGCTGTGATGAGGCTTAGGCAAATAAATAACCCACATCTTCAGCATCAGAATGTATGTACAGCAATGTTAATATGTTTGAAAATTGTTATGCTGAAAATTGGTTCATACCCAAAACGCAAGCTCAATAAAGAGTTAGTTGACTGGCTTCCTTCATGATTCAAGCTATGCCGACTTGTTATGTCGCCTAATATCTCATTGGATCATCACTGTCATGTGCCTATAGCGAAAAACTCATGACTATAAGCAAGATGAAAATCAAGCACTCAAATTTATGGTTAATCACATATTCTTTTTCTTAACGTGTAGTGATAGGCACTTATCGTCTCTATATTTTTCTATTGGCATATAAATGGCACATTCCTAGATGGAATAATTTCTCCATCATTTGGATGTATGTTACAACCATTCGAATAAGAGAATAGGATAACTTCAATGCAATAAAATGTCGGACAACACTTTGGAGATCGAACTCCTTTAGCATCAAAAGTTCAAAGTACCGCCCAAAAATTTTAGGAGCAATAAGTGGCTAATCCCTTTAGATTGAGGAATTATAGTGGTCATGAAGTTAGCCCTTGGAAATTGAGTGCAAATGGTTGCTTGCTTTAGAGGTGATCGTTATGGTGTCTTCCACTAGTCCAATTTCAGCCTGTAAATGAGAAAATGAGAGGAAAATCTCAATTGAGAATAATGTAAGAACCTCTTTCTGTCATGTGAAATAGAAAAACAAAAAAAAATCGTTGTAATTTAAATACTAACAGACCTGAGTCAATAGAGAGTAGGAGGCCCCCAATTAAAGCCTTCTGATCCTTGACTGTTTTTATAGCAAATGACAGCACATTTTTAGGTACAATGATGGATACTGTAAAGAAAATTTGACTGAAGGTGCGGAAAAAGAATTACTTACCTGTTAAGGTTCTGAAAGGAGACACTACTTAGGTTCAAGTGATCCATGACTCAGCTCACCCTCCCCATGGGTAAAGCTGCAGTGACACCTCTCGCACAAGTGACGGAAAATAATGAAAGCGAATCAGCAAAAAACCTCCATCTTCGTGCTAAGATTGTATCAGTTTGAGGCTGCAGAAAAGAATTCTCAGATTGTTGCAAACAGAGAATTCCCTGACTAAAATAAAAATTACTGGGAGCGGTACTTACCTCTCTCTGTTTTTGGGATAACTTGCAAACATAGGTACATGTAACTCAATTAGCTCCTTGTTCGTGAGGACGTAGTCGATACCGAGAGGAGTGTCGTCGGTGGCCTAGTGAGAGGTGATAATTCTGAGCACTTGAGGGAGTCGATACGTGAGGACCAACACTTGAGGTTGTAGCTTGTGTATGTACATTGTGAGGATTTGTGAGAGTTGTCGGTTGACTTGATAACCGAGTGTGTAGAGTTTTTGATTAGCTAGAAAACCGAGTGTGTAGAGAAGTTCCGGCTTCCAAACCGGGTTGTGTAGTGGATTCTCCTCGAGAGTGGGGAGCGGGGACGTAGGACGGAAGGTCCGAACCTCGTGAACATATAGCGTGTTTGGTTTGCATTGGCGCACTTATAATTGTTCATCTTATAGCCTATTGCACATTGGCGCACTTATAATTGTTCATCTTATAGCCTATTGCATCTTGTTTATATTGTCCACTAGTTTGTTTACCCTTGTGATAGTTTAAATATATCATTGCGTATACCATATAGTATATCTCATTGCTAGGATATATCACCTTAGTTATATTGCTTATTTTTGCTCATATCACATTGTATATCTATCTTGCAAGAATAATTTGTTAATAAGTTTTACTTCTAGCATGACATTATCTCTTTCATGAGTTAACTTAGCAAAGTTTGAAAGCAAAGAATCATGATCCAATTTTAATTTTTCATTGTTTTCTTTAAGAATCACATTCTTATTAGAAATAGTCTCAAACTTAGATGCTAACAACTCATGATCGGATTTTAACCTAACATGCTTGCTTTTTAAATCAATAAAATTATTATGCAACTTAGTGTAGGCATGCATTAATCTCTCATAGGCACAAGCGAGTTCATTGATAGATAAATCATTATCGGAATCGGACTCGCTTACCACACTAGGGTTATCGCCTAGTGGTCATGTGCATGATGTTGATACTCCAATAGAACTTGAAGAGGAATCCTCCAAAGCTTGTTGGTTCGCCTCCAAGTTTCCTTGATGCGCTTCTATGAATTTCCACAATGTATAAGCGCTATCAAAAGAATCAAGCTTGTTAGACATTGATGAATCAAATGCATTTGATAAAAATTCTAACACAAGCTTGTTCATAATAAACATCTTTTTATCATGTTTGCTCCACTTAGATTTCTCCAACGTGGGCACAATATAAGCACAGTCAATAACTTTCCACAAATCGATATTTTTAGATTGAATAAATATTTTGAATCTAAAGCACCATTGATTATAAGGGAAAGCATTAAATTTTGGAGCAACACGAGGATCATAGCCTAAACAAGATGCACCATACATAATCATAATTAAAAATATGCAAGCAATATGCAAATGCAATCAAAACTAGATTAGCACAAAAAGATAACTTGGATCTTTAACTCAATATGATTAGACTTTAAATCAAAGAGCACCAAGTTCTGATACTAATTGATAGACCTTAGAGGGGGCGTGATTAGGGTCTTATGCTAATCTAATCTGATTTTATGCTAATTAAAAACTAATTAATAAATATATTCTTGTAAGATTGATATACAATGTGATAATCTGATTTTATGCTAATTAAAAACTAATTAATAAATATATTCTTGTAAGATTGATATACAATGTGATATGAGCAAGAATAAGCAATATAACCAAGGTGATATATCCTAACAAAGAGATATTGATATACAATGTGATATGAGCAAGAATAAGCAATATAACCAAGGTGATATATCCTAACAAAGAGATATTGTGACGCCCCAGGGTTCACACAAGGCTATAGTCCCAGGTAAAACCCGGATTGTCAAACCTGCCAAACACCAAACACCATTCTATGACATGTTCCCATCACAATCATTATCTCTCTAGTGAAAACAATAAATAGATGAAGGTACAGACATGTAAATAATCAAAATCGAACAACACTGAAAATATACACAGAAGAAGTATAAGAAATATTAATAATGAGCCCAACTGGAATAAAGTAGATATATCTCTGAGTCTGAACTGAATCTTAAATACAATGAGTTAAATAAACAAAGTCTTACAATAGCTCTCAACTCTATGAAATAAAATACCAATCTAGAGTATGAAAAATATTCAACTACGTGTGGAGTTCTGCAATAACTACGAAATATAATAAATAGCTAAACGGACAACTAAAATGTCTCATCAACCTACGACTCTCCGTGCGCAACTACGAAATATAATAAATAGCTAAACGGACAACTAAAATGTCTCATCAACCTACGACTCTCCGTGCGCGGGACCCGCTGTCTGAAAAGGGGGAAAAACAACGAGCGTCAAAGCGCTAGCGAGATCATCACTACCTCTCCCCAGGGAAAGGGGGTAGGAACATATAAAAAATAGAGTCAGTACATACATATATCAAATCATTCATATAACTCTTTATGAATGAAAAACAAATAATTAATGATAAATACCCCAATCTCCAACATAAAGAATAATCATCTTATCTCGAACTACCTCCGAGTGACCTGCTCTTAATATAAGAGGATATCAACAATTTCTAAAACAAATATATCTACCGTTCATAATGGGTGTATCAAAATCTCAAAGGAAATGCCCTACTCGCGGGTAATCTATCATGGAAGTAAAGCTTACAACTGATGAATTATTTATGTGTGCATCATCTTGTGCTATAGCGATACTTTTATAATGCTCGTTACTCAATCGATCTACGGCAATAGGGTTTATTATTCTCCTATTCCGGATACATGTAACAAGATACTATTGTAATACTCTTACTCAATCGTTCTGCAGAAAATAGGTTTCATCTCCCTATTTCCGGATACGTACATAATAACATTATTCATATATGTTTATCAAATTAACTCATGTCGAAAGTGTGTCAAACTAACACAATCTAGCATATATGCATAAATCTCGATGTGCGTGTCCACATCTGAAGTCCACAATCACTAACATCATAGTCTATCATCATTAGATCGATAAATCCACTCGACAAAAAAAACCAAGTCATATAAACATGCACAGCCAAAATAGACTGGCGGTCGACCGTAGCGGTCGACCGCGACGGGCTCCAGAGACTACCTAGGTCTCTGTCCTGTACGCGGTCAACCGTGGCGGTCGATCGTGAACCCAAATTCTAGTTTTTCAGATTTGTTTGTGTGTGTCGTGTTCACATCGTGTTTTTGTGATTCAAACATGATTAAACCCTCATAATCTTGCATACAAACATGTTACAATAGATAGAAATATCTTAAAAACAAATTAACATATGTAACCATGATTTTATGCATTGGATTCATATTCAAAACCTTAAAACATGCATAAAAGCTCAATACAATGAATCAAACTTCTTTCTTTAGATTAACCATATTTTAAAATCATCTTTAGGTCTTAAATACTTCTGTAAAATTGTTCTCAACCTTTTTAGCATAAAAAGACCTAGTCTCTTTATATATAATACAAAGGAAGTTGACTTTATTCATAAACTAGTCATTTAGGCTCTACAAAATATATTTAAAACTCTTTAAAAACGTTTTGAAAACTAGGAGGGGGATTAGCAAAGATGATACTCTCCTGGGGTTGTAGGAAGAACTTGTTAGAAGCAACGTCGAAGGAGATCTCCACTCCAAAAGCCAAAAATCAACAAAAACACAACTTGAAAGCCTCCAATCTTCTCCAAGAAATCAAACTAGGGTTTGGGGGGTTTGGTGGCTATTAGGGTTTAGGGTTCTTAGGAATACTGATAAAAACGTGAAAAACTCATATATATATATAGTATATATACTTTATATATATATATATATATATATATATATATATATATATATATATTATATATATATATATATCAGGGGGAAAACGGATATGGGTTTAGAAATCTGAAACCAACTCAAAACAGGAGTGTAGGCCGTCAAAAAATGCTCATAGATATCCAAATACAACTCAAGACTGAGAAGAGAACAATGTGCATACATGTGACAAAATACAATGACAGGCAACACGTTTAGACGCGGCAGCCTATGGTGACGCGCCAAAGGCGCAGCGCCTATGGTGACGCGCCTAAGGCGCGATAGCCTATGGTGACGCGCCAAAGGCGCGGTAGCAAGGGGTGACGCGCAAATAGTACAATAGCCTTTTATGTGAATTGTTGATAGTTTTTAACATCTCTTGGAGGTCCACATAGCGGCATATCAGAAAGAGAATATGTGCTGACGTGTACAAGCAGTTAAACCACGAAAAAAGTGGTTAAAAGTCATGGGAGGACGGTTTTAAACATGATGGAACGTGGCTGGAACTGCCTCTTTGACCGCGCCAGTCCGTACTGACACGCCAATAGCCGCGGTAGCATAGGCTGACGCGTCCAAAGAGCATATATTCGATCAGTTATTTTGCCTCCATTTCCACTGTTGTGCACTCCTATCTCTATAAATACCTCCCTAGACACAAAACAAAGGATAGAGAGCTGATTGGAGCATAGAGACCTGGGATTTTGGTGATTTTGAGGAAGAGAGAGAGAGTCTTCATCTTTCATAAACAGTGTTTGGTGATTCCTAGAGATCTAAGCTCAGACTTGATCTTTGGAAGAGTGAACATATTACATCGATAAGATATTCACTTCAAATTCCTACTTCGATAAACGAAGGAAGAATTTCTAAACCCCTTCACAATCTATGAATCCGTGGTCCATGAGCCAAAGCACTCTCAGCACAGGTAAAGTCCCACAAAACAAAAGTCGATAAACAATTTTTGTGTTATTTTCTAGAAAGTTGTAATTTTCTCATTTTTTATTGTAATTCATTGTAAATGACTGAAGTTTAATGGAATCGACAATGAAAACGAC